ATACGCACTCGTTGAAAAGTCTTAACGGGCGCGCTTATCGATCGAAACGATTCTTAGTTCTTCTTTAGTTTCTTCGGAGCACGCCGATGATGAAATTTGCGTCTGGGTGCGATGAAATCGATGAAATCTGGAGGAATCTTCCCCTCGGTGCGCGTAAGCTTCGTGTACACGATAGTATCGAGTATCTGGGCTAAACTAAACTAACAGATGGTCTACGAAGGAATTATTAGCGTTGCGATTTTATAACGCGCGTCCCACGAATAAAATACGCAATCATTGTAACTAATAGAGGACATTAAATGAAGACGCTCGATATAGCGCGCGCGCAGTGGCATTCGACCTAAGCGCGACGTTGTTTTCGCCAGATCCGCCAATCGCGGCGAATATAAAATTCCTTCTTCCTCCCCCGCCACCTCTCCCCCTTCCTTTCTTTTTGGAAAAGACATCGACGGGCAACAATTTCGGAATCGTCATACTGCGAAATAAATCAATCTGCCACGTTCGCGGTATCCGCGAAGACGAAGATGATGAAGAAGAGAAGACATGACACGAGGATCTCTCTCTTTCTCTCTCTCTCTCTCTCTCTCTCTCGTGAGTAGGAAGCCCTGCCCGGGCGAGCCCCAAAAATTCAGGTCACTGGTCTGACTGGATATGTGAACCGTCATGAGAACCGCGGCGCTGTGGAACTCTTGCCTCCGTGACGGTTTAGCCTCTAACCATTCGAGTCAGCGACATCGATTCCGTCATCTTACTCTTATCCCACATCTTTATTATTCCTCTATTATCTCCAGTCCCAATCGATAGAGAGAGAGAGAGAGAGAGACAGAGGGATTATTAAATAACACTTAAAAAACGATACCTCATGAATTTATATCTCTTTTATCATCACGTTTTTTTCTCTCTCACTTTATTTCCACTCGATTTCCTTTCATTCATTTTATTACCTCGTCCGTTCATTCCTGTCCTTATTTTTCATTTTCCAACTCGAGTGACGCATCTTCCGAATCCGAGTTAATCTCCGACGATCAGCCCCTAATTATCTCGGCTCCGCTACGATCCTCTTCAAGTTCCACGGTGTTCATCCTCCCCCGATCATTCTCTTCGTATTGCCCTTGATTATTCGCCCTTTCGTCCACTCCAGTCGCGTATTCCTTCGATTATCTCCCTCACGGCGTCGCCTCTTCCGTCCTGATTTTATCTCAATTTCATCGGCATTCCTGGCATTGATATCTCCCTGTGACTCGTATATACGTCGCTCGTTGTTAGATTAATCAACGGTACAGTTAGACCGGGCACGGTGGCCGCGCTTGCATTTCGCGTGTGCGATCGCGCGCGCGAGCTCCCCGCGTCTCATTGTCAGGCGAAAATAAAAGATCCACCTCTTTCTGCCTCCCCCTCCTCCTCCACCTTCCACCGTATCTGAATCCGCGCATCTCCTTGTCCCACACCAAGGAGACAACGTCACACGACGGACCGTATAACCTCCCGAGACCATAACCCCGTTATATCATTATATTCAACAATAACCCGCGGTCCATGTACAAACATCGGAACGAACTGCCACGCGAACTGTCCCAGATCCTTCTCTTTTATCGCCGTCCTTTGTTAAGAGCCCGACCGTAATTCGGCCCGCGTCGTCGTCCGCGACACGAAGCGACACACTCCCGAATCCAAAAGTCGGGAACCGCCATTGGCGAGAGCAAACGACAGCCCCGAATCGATACCTGACACCCGGTGCTCAATTGCGCGATAATTAATCGAATATTCGCCGCTACAAATGGGAAAGTTACCGCCCTCTTCTCCGCTTGAAGACGCTCAGCGCAGAATCCAGATTTCGACGGCGAAGGACTAAATTCCCGCTGGCAGCGTTAAAGGAGCGCCTCTAGCGAAAACTCATTTCCGTTTTCTCTTCGACATCGGAGACTCGGGACGATGAGCCGCAATCACGGGAATGTATTCCGTACTGGAAGAGGCACTGACCGGGCTTCGAAGAGTGAGGCCCGACTTGTCGCGTATGCGTCGCGCTCTCTTCAGAAGGAGACAGGTCGGCCCTAACATCCATCCGTCTCAGGCACGTTTTCCATTCACCGATCCCATCCATGTTACGTAGCAGTGCCTTTACCGGCGGCACATTTATTTCAGCGGCCGCGCGACGCTCCCCCGGAGCACTTTGATCGCACCTGACGTCACGCAACACCGTCCGTCCTTTCCACGAAATCTCAACGGCGGTTCCGTCTCCGCCGAGAAGCCTCGCCGCGGAATGTGGAACGCGGATCTCCACGTGCGTCCTCCGTTGCGATGTTAATTCGGGGTGAATTTCCGCGCGGCGTCGATCGAGAACGGGGGTGGCGAATCGATCCGTACCGCGATTCCATCCATTTTACTCGGGCCCGACGTAAACGACGAGTGTGAGAACGATCTCGCGATGCTTAGTTTTACCTGACCGCTGTAATATTTCAGCCGAGTTGCTCGATTAACTCGGCAGGTTCGGGAGGAATCCATGGGAATGCGCAGGACGAGGGGGACGCGCGCAGTGAGAGAAAAGAACAACACGCCGTGTCGCAACGCGGTAACAACATTTTATTAAACATGAGTTTACATATAAATAAAACACACATCTCCGACTTTTATACAGGTTGTATACCGCAGTCAGTGGTCACGAGCTCACGAACAGCAGAGGGGAGGGTTCGGGGAGGGAGGGGGGGAGAATCGGGTAATGAGGAGGGAATGTCGTGAACTCGACGATTAATTTCTGCAACATGAGATTTCTACGCAGAAACCGTCGACCACCGGCGTGAAAAGAAATCCGTTTCTCGTTCAATCGGCAATAATTGCGGCCACTCAATCACCTTTCGCCGATTCAAACTCACCATTGATAAAGGGAATCATCATGCGTTTGATAACAAAAAGTATATAAAGGACCGTTTATTTAAACCTACATCACTTAATTCTACTAACTTAATCTTAAGAAGAAATACAATGTGAGGAAATATCGTACAGAATATCTTACATTGTATCATGTAGTAATATAGATTAATTGGAAACAGAGAGAGAGGGGGGGGCGGGGAGAGGCGAGGTCGGAAGTTAAGAATCACTTATTTACACATTCGCGCATACATTCTCTCTCACGCTTCTCGCGATCTCAATGACTTACGTCTATGCATCACTCCTCGGAGGTCACCTGTGTGATCGCTTACGATATCACGATTGATCACGGTATCGATTTCGCGAGAATTTACACGGGAGAAGCGGAATACGTAGCGCACAAAGTGTAGACGGGCGAGTAAATAATTGTCCGTGTCTATCCGCGTCTGCTCCGGAATGAGGCCGCGGCTTCCTCGTAGCTGTACGGCCGGCGGCGCGATTTTCAATAGAAGGAAGATCGAATTCGCTTAGTGTTTATTACGGATTTTCTATCTCCGCGCGCTATGTAACGCACACACAGTACAGCCGTTTTTGCAAATGCACGCACGACAACTCGCACCATCGGTTACACGTATACTTTCGTGAACGATCGCACGATGTCGCAATGCGCAAGTACATCCATCGGCGTTGCTCCTCTCCCTCCTTCGTTCGCGCGGAAATCTCGAGGAAATTACTCGAACGGAGTCTATGAGTCAATGCGTATAGATATATATATACTGTAATGATCTACGGGTTTCACTCACTGTTATGTTACGGATAACGAATACTTATGTACATATATCATTGGCATCCAGTAAAAAAGTACAAAATCCAAAATATTCCTTTTCAACGATCTCCATACGCGTATTTCTTTTTTTCTAGTTATTCAACTAGACAGCCATCTTCACGGAACGATTTTTGGGTTGCGAAGCGTCCCGCAGGTAAGGACCGATGTGTAATTACGACGTATAAAAGTTACGCATTTATGATTTATAAAGAAATAATTGATAAAAGTTGCATGTTTGAATTTATACGAGAGCAATTGTAAACGATGATAAATGACAACAATGAAGAGAAATGCAGCCGTTCTTCCCTCACGACTGGCTCTTTGTGACCATCCTTCTCTTTTTATTCGTTTTGAAGTTTTAATAATTTTAATAAATTTTCATATATATAAGCTCCATGTTGCACGTTCACCCTAGCTATGCTTTTTTATAAGATATTATATGTATCATATTATATAATAATATTATATTATAACGATATAATAAAATTATATAACACGATGACACGATATTGCAAAATTTCAATAGGATATTGCGAGATATCGCATTTTTCAATCTTGAGACAATTTGGAATATCCTCGGAATAAAGCGTGTGGTGAGTAGAAAAAGAAATTTTCACCATTTATGCATCTTCATGGTTTTACTTACTGAGTTCATCATTGCTTACTTACAAATGCTTTCATAACATCTAATTATATAAATGCTTTCATAACATCTAATTGTGTAAATTAATAAATAACATAATAATAATAAGATAAAGAATTATATACTGAGGCAACGTCACGCGAAGCAACGTTAAGCAAAGTATAGTCCCCGAGAATAATTATCTGAGATCCTGAGTGTGCGTCGTGCTTAAACACAATAGTATGATTCAACTGGATGATCAGGTGCCGGGGAAAAGTTGTCGATCCGAAAGCCGATCCCTGACACTGCCTTTTGACACAGGAACGTTTGTTACTTCCTCACCCGATTGTCGGAGTTTCCACCCGCAAGATCAATCTCGATATTTCACCCCTTCTCACGTACGCATACATACGCAGTTACATCGTTAACAGCTACTACTAGACTGGAGGGGATTCTGTCGGAAATCTCTCTCTCTCTCTCTCTCGTCCCGATCCCGTGGACAATCGTTAAGGACTCAGGTCTAGACGACGATTACTCATTATCATTTATTGATCGTCATGTGCTATAAATTTACAAACTTATCGATACTTGCATTAACAATTACTACTAACGCTATAGGTACACGAAGCGAAGTTTTAGGTACGTTCCCAATTGAAGAAGATAGGGGAGGGGAATGGAGGGAGGGACTCAATCCCTGTTGCCTCTCTTGTGTATCTGTTGGTGTTTGATCAAGTGTGCTTTCTGCCTGAACGCTTTGTCGCACACCTCGCACTTGAACGGCTTCTCGCCGGTGTGAGTCCTAAGGTGCACTTTGATATTACTCTTGTTGAGAAAGCCCCTGTTACAAACCTGACATCGATGGACGGGCTTCTCCTTGCCGCCCGCCATGCTGGCGTCGTTGGCGTAGGATATCGCCGCCTTCTTCGCCGGGTTCCCCGACGCCTGGCTCGTCCGTGATCTCTTGCGGGAGTGGGACGGCGCGGCGTAGGACGAGTGTAGGTTCTGATCCGGACTGCCGGACGTGGAGACCCTGCCGGGCGGGCTGACGGGCGGGTAGGTGCTGGTGGACGAGGGGGTCTCGGTGTTGCCCGCCTGGAGTCTCGCCTGTAGCAGGGGCGAGTAGGAAAGGAGGTTCTGAAGGGCGGAACTGTGCTGCTGCTGCTGGGTCTGCTGGGCGGGGGGATTCGCCGCGTAGACCGGGTACGAGTTGGGATCCGGCGGCCGGTTGTTCGAACAGGCCGAGTCGAACCAGTCGGCGATGTCGTTCCACGAGGACGCGTCCCTGGACGCGGTGTCCTGGTCCGGCACCAGGCTGGAACCGCCGCCGCCGTTGCTGCCGCTCCCGGGGTTCGCGGCGTTACCGCCGGCGTTGTTGCCGTTGTTCCCGGCGTTGCTGCCGCCGCTCGACACCGTCGTGTCCGCGGCGATCGCGCTGCCGATCAGCTGCGCTATGTCCGCGTCGATCTCGACCTCGTATTCGAGCGACTGGGTCGACTGCGGCAGTTGCTGCTGATGCGGGTTGTGGTTGTGATGGGGATGATGCGGGCAATGCTGCTGATTGTTCATATGCTGCGGCTGCTGCTGCTTCTGGCTGGCTTGCTGGCACGGTGTGCTCGAGGAGACGACGGGGGACTCCTGGTACTCGAGCGTGTCGGAAGCGGCGTAGTACTCCTGATTGGTGGACTGGGTCGGCGAGCCGGACGGCATCGCCGATCTCTGCCCGGACGAGGCTATCGTGTGGTAATGGTGGCCGGGGATGCCGTTGATGCTGAGGTGGCTGGTGTAGCCGATGAAGGAGGGCAGCGGCCTCCTGTCCGCCGCTATCGACTGCGGCACCACCTCGAGCGGCTGCTCGATCAGGATGGAGTCCCAGGTGTCCGAGAGGTGGGCCGAGCCAGTCTGCTTGATGTCGGACTGCTCGAGGTAGTCGGGCCCTACGCCGTTCCACGGTAGCATCACGGTGACGCCCTCGGCGTCCGCCGGCGAACGGTCCACCATCATGCCGGAGCCCTGGCTGCTGTGCGGCGGCTCCACGCCCGAGGAGGTCATGTGTGACTGCGCGGTCGGCGGGCCCGACTGCGTCTCGTATTTCATGTCGGGCGCGATGTCCGACGTCGTCGGCAGGTGCTGCTCGTTGCCGGCGATGATGTTGTACGGCGACGTGTTGCTGAGGTCGCTCGACGCGTGTCCCAGGATGTCGTCGCCGAGGCTGTAGTTAACCTCGATACCGCCTAGCACCGGGGACGCTCTCTGGTTGTACTGCTCCGACCTCGCGGAGGAGTTTAGCTTGATCAGCAGCTGCCTCGAGAGCTCGTCGTTGTTGTCCCCGCCGACGTAGCCGCCGGGGACCGCGCAGTTCGGTACGCGCGACGTCGAGACGAATCCGATCGCGGCCGGTAGGCTCGCGGGGTTGAAGCTCGCTACCGACGACAGGGAGGGTGACGCCCCGCCGATCGTCGAGCGTCGCTCCCCGGCGGGGCGAGGGTCGAAAAACTGCTCCGTCTCGATCGCCACGCCGCTGATCTCGGCGGGCGGCGCCCTGATGTGCTGCGATGTGACGCGCGTGTTGCGCGCCGGGAAGAAATTACGCGGGTATTGCAGGAACTGCACCTCGTTGCTCTCCGTGACCAGGGCCAGGTTGTCGTTGGATGTGGGACTGGGCTGCGGCGTGCGCGCGCCGATGTTCCCGGCGTCGAGTCCGAGGCTGGTGCTCAAATCATTCGTCTCCTGCGGACAAACAATTTGGTCAGTAGCTTTGCGATAATCGTCGCCCAAGTTCTTACGCGTATTTAAGTCATTTATTTTATTACCGTTTGAATCGTCGCGCGTGCAGAGGGCGGCCAGTTCGACGACGACGGCGTTGATGAGCTGGTCGTAATAGGCTGCGGTGTACAAGGTTCCGTTGTGCCACGGTGTCCCCCGGTTGTTCCTATCCTCGCGATTCTCGTCCACAAACTCGACGTCTGACTTTTCTGACGCTGTATCGGTATCGCTGAACAAAGTTGCTTCGTAGTCGGGCACATTTATCGCCCTGTCCTCGCCGCTCCGGTCTGCCACTTCAGCCTCGTGGCAGCTTCCCGGGGCATTTACGGGAAGACCGGTCGCTGCGTTTCGTCGTGTTCCACTTTCGGGCGAATTCGGCTGCTGAACGCAGGCCTGACGATGATACTGTTCAGCGTCGTATCCTGTAGCGGCCGAACTGCCCGACGGTCCGGCGCAACTTTCTATGTTCGGATCGAAGGAACCGGAGGCGCCGTACAGGAGCGGCGGCGAGCTGGGCTGCTGGATGTTGTGCTGGAAATCAAACTGGCTGCCGATCGTTGGATCTTGGACGACGGCGAACGGACGGTCCCAAACCGACGAATTGCCGGCGATGTTCACGCTGGAGGCGGCCTCGGCGTAGTTCCCCGAATCGAAGATCGCGGACACGCGGTACGAAGGATGCGGGAGGAACTGCTGATGCGGCTGAATGTCAAAGTGGCTTCCGGCCGACTGACTATAAGTGAAGATGGGGTTCGAATCGACGCTGTGATTCAGCGGAATCACGTTGGGATTTACGTTCACGTTGGACGCCGCGGCAGCCTCGGCGCGATTTCGCGGCGCATTTGGGCGATCGTTGAGTGCCAATCCGAGCGACCCATTCAAACATGCCTCCCGTCTTTGCCTCCGGCGATGTCTCAACAAGGAGTTGTTGTTGTTGTCCTGTTCGTTCACGTCCCTGAGACCGGCGTTGCAATCAGCGCGGCAATTCGTCAACACATTTGCGTTAGGTCTCTTCTTCCTGGTCCGACCGGCAGGGAAGTTACTCCCGAACGTTTCTTCGTAGAGATCGCGGAACCTCAGCCCGCGCGTCAGCCCGTGCAGCTTTCTCACTCCGTCTTTGATAGGATATCCCCACGAATCGTCTGGATTTTCCGAGCTGTGCGACGCGACGTTGACTTCCTCTCTCGCTTCATTAATACCTCCGAACAGAAGCGCCGAAGTGGAGGCGTGCACGCCAACTTGCGCACCTTGGGCCGGGTGTTCTGGCTGAGGATGCGAGGGATCAAGCAGATAATGCGTTGCTGTACGCTGTTGCGGCAAATCTTCAGGCGCCAAAATGCGAGGCTCCTGCGGGAACCACGTCTGATGATATATCGGTCGGTTGTTTTGCGGACTTCGCCAGTGGGACGGTAGTGTTTCTAACACAGACGGGCGCACCACTGCCTGAGGAGCCGGTTGTTCTTGATTCGGCAGGCGCGACGCAGCTTCCCGCAGCGACGACGACGAGCGTCGTTGATACGGCTGAGTTCGATTTTCTGCTCCACGCAAACGCTGATTGTACTCTCCGCCGAAGCAGTGCTGACGCGAATGATCCAACGGGTTCGGGAACTCGGGACGATCTAAAAGAAGCAAACGACATCGGTTGGGGACAACAAGCGAGGGCTACTCTCGATTCGGGAGAACAGAGGTCGTACGACGACACGAGGGGACACACGCGGGAGGGGATGCAAAGTGTCGTGTCGTCGTCGTGGATAAATCAAAGCTTGCACTACTGCTACGTTTGTGTACGGGTCTACCGAGTTGATGCACACACACGCACACACACACACATGCTGAGCGCGGTTACAAACACACAATCGTCATCGTCAGGTGATAACCCCGAAGAAACGCTCGGGTGTGGCGGAGGGAATTCCTCTTCTCGCACCTCGCAAGACGGATCCACCTTCGTGCCATTAAGGAGAGAGAGAGGGGGGGGGGAAAGAGGAAAAACAGCGAGAAAGAAATGAAGGAACGAAGAGCAAAACTGTAAAATCCGTGAGGCAAACGAGGCATGTCGTACGGCTCCGCGGCACGCTCGTGGTCGATGTTCGTACGGTAGATAGGCAGGTAGGTTGTCCTACTGGTATGATCCGGCGAGCGTGTGTGTACGTTCGTACGTACGTAGACGCACAGTCGTTCGCGCGGATGTATGATACACGCTCGCAGTGTGTGCGCGCGCTCGCGCGCGAGCGTACGCGCTCCCACACGCGCGTGTACAATTTCGTGCTGCTTTCTCCTATTCCTCAGTTAAATACTTTAACTTCTTACCTGCGAAGCATCAGCCCCTTTTCTTCCTTCGCGAACAACAACCGTGTTCCCCTCTCTTTTTCCTACCAATTAATTTTCCACCGCGTTAACCGTCGCGTTAACTTTCGAGAATTCAGCCTCAAAAATCGTGTTGGATAACCCGAGACGAAGCGAGGGGGGGGGGGGAAATATCAAATAAAAAAAAAGACGACTCCGAAGAACACGTTGCGACGCGAACTTTTCAGACGGTTTCACTGATTTCTCCGCGCATCTAATTCGCCGGTCGCATTCGGTCACGCTTCATAAGCAGACTCCGCCGATGGTACGGGTCGGATCCGACCCCGCGTGCTCCGTTTTCCTAGTTTTTCGTCTAATTAATGCGCAAAATGGATGAAAGAAATCAATAGTAACGTGAAATCGCTTTTTATGCTTATTCATAGGCGAAAAGAAAATACAATATCAAGTTATTAACTGACTTGAAATAATTGCGATAAAATACTTCGAAAAGCGCTCTAACGTTTCGCCCTGCCATTAGAGGGTTAATTACCGCACATATCACCGGAATGTATAACACGGTATTTGAAATACACGTCAAATGCACACGTTAAAATATCGTCACGAGTGAATTTCTTCGCGCCAGTTCAATTACTTCATTACACGATCGCCATTGCTTCTCGTTCGCGACTCTCTCCTTCTCACTTTATATACAACGTGCATATATACATTTGTACATTCGCCAAATTTTGCGAGACCCTTCTCTCCGAAGCATCACATTTGCCCCCTTCCTCGCCCTTCGCGTGCACTGAGAAAGAGATTTCGCCAAATTTCATCAATTTCATTGCATCCAAACAAATTCCACCATCGGCATGCAAAAAAACTAACGTTTCGATTAACAAGTACGATTATTCGAACTCCTCAACGAATACGTATCTTTATCCCAGATAAAAAAACTCGTTCGAGACGAAAGATGATTTTCTTACGAACAAAATTATTCCTTTCATTTTACATATTTATCGCAAACAAATAACATTTTATTCGTCTAAAAGATATTCTTTCAAATAATCAAGCGTCCCTTCCGTCAAACAACAGAATTTCCCTGAACGAGGCGATCAAAAATCATATTTCTACTCAAACGAATAATATTTCGCGCATGTTGCTTCCATGAAAGAAATTTGGATGAAATAAACAGAAATACGAAATCCAAGGTAACTTTTTCCGCGGTCCTTCTCGGTAGAATCGCGCGAAATAAAGCTTATTATTATTAGCCGCGCATATATCCCGCGGATAAGCGAGCCCCCGCGAGTGTACACGCGCGCGTGTACGGGCGCGCGTGACGTCGCGAGTAGGCAGATCCTACTTCTCTCGAGAAGAAGAAGAAGAAAGACTTGCTCCGGCTAACTAGGTTAGTGGCACGTTAGCCAGCCACGGCCGAGTACACTCGGCCGACCAAATTGCCGCGTTTAAAAATATATTTTTGTAGCGTGAACGCGCGCGCCGGAGGGACCGCCGGCGGCGGCGATGCGGCGGAGGACGAACGATGAGTCGGACGGTGGAGAGGATGATGGTGGGGGAGGGGGCCGAGAAGGGAAAATTTCAGCTCAACGCGAGAGTGCACGAGAGGCTAATTTCCGCCAGCGACTTTTCGAAACGTCATCACGCTCGGCGTTCTCCTTCCTTTGACACCACCGGAGCGGTCGAAAAGTGACGGCCGGTCTGTTTTTCTTTTCTTCGAGAAGTCACTCCAATTCCTAACGACGCATTTCTCGGAGATTAACCGTCATTTCGGCCGCAACGCCGTGGAAAGAGAGAAATATTCTTTCCTTCGCATTGCGCATTTTTTTCTCGGAAATCCTGTTTAAGTCGTCACGGCGGGGAGGTAATCGGTCGCGTTAATCGTCGGTGATTTTCAGCGTTAACATCGACGACGGCACGATGACGACGACCGACGACGACCGGCCGATCGTAATTTGCGACGGCACAGAGTCTGAGGAGATCCTCAAGTTCGGTCTGCAATGTGCTCTTTGCTCGCCTCTTGCTCGCCTATCTCTTTTCCACGGGTGAGTAGAAGTTCCTGCGGAAGGAAGACAGAGAGCAAGAGAGACAGGAAGAGCGAAGAGCAGATTGTAGGCCGAGCTTCATGGGGATATCCTCGACACCGAGCGCACAAGTGGAGCGATAAATAATAATCGATCGATTCGGCTCTTCCGGGTCGGCTGCGTGAGGCACTTCCGAATCGACGAGGAGAGCTGCAGCGATTCGCCGGCCTCCGTTCGCCATTCAGGCTCTACTCGTGAACGGCGTGAGCGTCCTCTCCTCCTCCTCCTCCTCGTTCACATCCTGCCTGCCGCGGAGAGGAGTCGGAAAATTGGGCCTTTCTTTTCTCCGTTCCGATTGACATATCCGCGTGGCCGCAGGAACACGTCATGAGAAACATGCAAATCGCGTCTTCGTGCGCCTTGGTACCTGTCGCTCCCGTAAGCGCCCATCATCGTCCTCGTCGTCATCATCCAGCTCTCCCCCCTCCCTCTTTTCCCTCTCCCACCGGTGCTCCCCCTCCTCCCATCGCGGAACCACCGCGCTCTTCGCGCCCTGCCAGACTGACTTCGAGTCACGCCGAGTGTCCGTCCTTGTCGTCGGTTAAACTCCGTCCTTGTCGAGTGACGCTCGACAAGGTAAACGCAGAGCTCGGCTTCGGAGCTGCTTTCCCTCCCACCAACGGGGCGCCGGGCCCCCTGGGACCCAAGGGATGCGGAGGAGCCGGGGGGAGGGGAAAGCCCTGTCAGGCCGTGACGCGTTCGCCGTGTACCGTTATCCAATGGCGCGGACGCGGGCGACGCGATTCTGCGAGGGGGCCCGCGATGATCGATCCGGGCCCGCTTTTTCGGCTCTACGACAATGCCGCGGTGAGCCACTTATCAATGGGATCACCGGGTATCCGTCCGCGGCGCGACGAATTCGGCCGATTTGCTCGCGGTCATCCGGTGTTTGCCGCGTGCCCCGGTATTTATCGGGCCCCAAATATATATATGTATCTTTTTTTTTTCTTTTTTTCTTCTTTTTCTCTCTCTTCCGCGTTGCAGCTTCAGAAAGCGTCATTAGGGGCTGCTCGAGCCGAACACTTCCGTCTTTCGTCGTCGACAGCGTCTTTCCTTTTTTTTCCTTCACCTATCGCGCTCGCAAGATTCGTCCGCCGTAAGAGAACGAGAGTTCTCTCCCGNTTTTTTTTTTTTTTTTTTTTTTTAGGGAAGCCGAGAAACTTTCGGAGATCGGTGAAGAAAAGGAGGAAAAATGAAGGGAGTCGTGATCGCGCCTGACGCTTTAGCACCCGACCGAACTCCATCGAATCTCTTAATGTTACTAAACGCTCGTGTACATGTGCGAATTCAGCGTACACACGCGTATACACGCACGCTCTCACGAAATGCGATACAAATACATCCTTCTTCCGCGCACACGCAATGAATGAATTAACTTTCTTACGTAGGTGACAAATAAATTCGAACCGTCCGACCGTTCGTTTGGAAAACTTAAATTTTTTCGTCACACAGCGTGAATCTAAAAGACATTTCTCGAGAACGCGAAATTTGTATACGGTAAAAAAAAAAAAAACATTTTGTATTCGTGCTAAATTTCGCGTTAAGTCCCCGCCATATCCGTGTGTCGATTTCATATATTGCGCTTACGTTGTGTCAATATATTTCGGGGCTGAATCGACATTCAAGTAAGTAAGCGCAGAATAACGTTAGTAAGCGTTAAAATAAAACACGCTTTACACTTCCCGCGCTACAATTAACGCATCACGGATATCGACTTTTGCGTTTAATTCTCGATACAATATTTGCGTCACTTTCCGACACGTCCTTGCATCAAATTACGACAAATCGACGCCAAAATTTCCGGGCGGACGGGAGGATGTGTCGAATTTAACGCTAGAAATTTCCCGCTAGAAAACTACTTAGAAACATTTCCNTCCCGAGAATTTTCCTGGGGGCAGGGGGGGGGGGGGGGGGACACACCAGCGGAGATGCTTCGCGCGTTCATTCTCGCTCTCCTGAGAGAGCCCGTCGCCGGGGGCCGGCGCATCGCTCGCGAATATCCGTGCCGTGACTACACGCCGAAACCATACCGCATTCACGCTTCGGACCGCACGCATGGTGGGGCGGGCCGAAGTAGGCCGGAGCACCGTTACAGCCGGCTGCACGGCCGAAGCCTACGCAAATCGACTAGATTTTGCCCGAATGGCTTTCCTTTTCGTTGTGAAAAATGGCGCGTGCGACGCCGCCGCGGTGGTTTCCGCGGCGACCCACTTGCGCGCGGCCGACCATGCGTGCGATTTTCCTCGCGCGATTCCCGCACGCGCCTCCCTCGCTCGCGTTACCGATCGGCGCGTCACCATCCTCGACCGTGCCCGCCCGTGTTTCGTCCGGAGTTTATTTTCCATCGACGGAGTGTTCATTCAGCCTTCCATTCGCGTCTCAAACTCTCTCTCTCTCTCTCCCTCTCTTTGCCCCACCCCCACCCCGTCTGAGATAAATTCCCCAACCGATGGTGGGTCCGCGTAATCCCGGAACTAGCCCGGAGGAAGCGCATAGTGCGCGCACAGCGCGGCACGGGCACTTGTTCGTTCATCGACGACTATGCCGACGGCTTAAACTATATCGGCGCGTATATATACTGGAGAACGGAAGTAGGTCGAGGCACCGTTACACCAGGTAGAGCCCGAAGAGCTCGGGGAGGCCTACGCAAAACCAGTCAGATTTTGCTAAGCGTTCTCCCGCCGAGCAGAGCCAGCCGGCCGCGAGCGGCCAGCCGGCCGGCCCGCCGGCAGCCACGGCTTTCCTTTTCGTTACGAAAAATGGCGCGTGCGAAACGCGATTCCCCGTGAATGACCCACATCGGCGAAACGAGTCACGCTCACGAGAGCTTCTTCGTCGTGCACGCTCTCGCGCCCGGTCTCGCTCGCTCGCGCGCTGCGGTGGGCGCCCCCCCCCCGCCGCGCGCGGAGGGGGGAACCGATACCCGTGACCCACAGCGTAGCACGCAGAACCAGACGCGACCAAACGTGAAATTCATTTCCATACTTCCGTGTCCGGCTGCGCGCCGAATGGATCTTTTCGCCTCGTTACGCAGCGGCGACAAACAGCGCGCTCGCCCTCGACCGACACCTGACTCTTTGGCGCCGCGCGGTCTCCGCTTTTTGTCTTCTTCTTTCTTTAGGTACACGCGAGAACGTCCAATGGAACCGTCGAATGGGACGTGCGCGGGTGGACGAGGGACCATCTTCTTCCGGATAAGTTTTCCCGGACGCACCCCACGACAGCAGAGTTTCTTTCCCGGTTATGGGAAAGGTGTACAGGACGTTTCAGTTCTCGCGACTCTTTTAACCTTACCGAGAGGCCCTCCGAGCGATTTCAAATTGGCTTTCTTCGGGGATGTCGGAAATGTCGAGGCGGTCTCCGTGACGCGAGCGATTGGAAAAGCGGAGCTTTTCGCGGACTGACCTTCCGAACAGACCGAATGATTTTCTCCGATTTATTTCAAACGGACTTTAGATTAACTAGAGGATTTTTTAGTTGAGACTTAGCTAAAGGGGTGTGTTGAGGACCGAAAAGCTGTCGCAAATCTTGGCTAAGGAAAAATTCGCTCTAAACTGGCCCGGTGGTCTCTCGGTTAAATTAAGTTAAAAGTCGCGAAAACTAGGGCGGCTTGTATTTTCCTGCTGGACACGGGATGCGTAGCGAAACCGATGGAAGAGGAAGAAAGAAAAGTGTGAGAACCTTTCTGCCTACGAGGGTGCGTCGTGGTTTTTCACTCCTCGGCACCTCGAGCGATTGAACGAGACGGTTGCGCGCGGAGCTCGAGACGGTGAGCGATGATAAGAGGGAAAATCGCGCGGCGAATCTGGATCGCGTGTTTATCTCACGAATTGGGTAATCGGGGAGATCGCAAAGAGACCGTGCGTTTTACGACGCGGCGGGTTGAAAACGAAAACGGTCGGGTCGGTCGAGCCGGTGCTCGTGCAGGAGCAGAGGGAACCGTCTCCCGCGCCAAGTATCAAGTAGAAATAGGACGCACAGGTCAGACGTATCGAACACGCGGTCGGAGCTGCACACGATATGCGCATATTACGAAGATACGCTCTGCGGCATCCGTTGGAAATAATAGTGAAGATAAGTCGCGCGTACAGAAATGCAGGATATCATCGGCCCACCGCCGGACGATTAATCCCTCTCAGAAGCAGATACGCCAGATGAGGGTATTATCTGTTATCTATTGTAGCGGTATATTTGAGCTCGTAGTCATCCGGCAGGTACATTAGCGGCCTCGTGACGGACGATTGTCGCTACATGTGGGCATAAGGGGAGAAATAACGCCCACGGTCTCACCGTCTCTTATCAATTCGGCTTTCGATTAATTAATCGATCGGATCACGGTTTTTCGACACGCGTTCGCGCCCGCGAAACATCTTCAATCGGGGGCCAGCGTTGTAATTTTAACCGACGTTCGACATTCGGACATTCGTGACGACTTTGGACGCGAAGCGAATGAGATTTCATTAAAACGGCGGTGCAACTCGCTGATTACCGGCAGACGACGCGTAAGAAATGCGGCCCTATCAGATTTTTCACGCGTTAAACGTTCTCTTTTCATTGCGAGCGGCGATCTCAATTAAACGGATTTAATAACCCTTCGGTTTTGAACCTCACCGAATTCGCGTCTCGATAATCACGCGATCGGCGTTTCGATAATCACACCAATATCACACAGACGCGAATGATTCGCCGTCATTATAACCATACCGTTCAACATAATTAATCCCCTAGAAAGTTTTGACCTCTTTTTCCCATACTCCTCGTATCTCTGACCGTTGACATTTACCTCTGTCATCGACATTTTTATACGACGTTGAGCTAAAATCTCGCGAGTGATTCGGGGAGAAGCAAGAAAGGGTGAATATTGTTCAGAATACGAAAGGAAGGATTATACATATACATATTTATTGAACATATGTAATGTAATATATAAAACATACTAATTGTAATGTAATATATAAAACATATCATATATGTTTGTATATATATAATTATTTCATATTATATCGAATACGAAGGAAGCAGCAGGAATACTTTGGAACATCGACCACGTACACAGACACCTACACATATACATGAACTATAACGCATTTTTCTCAACTGGTCAGCTACATTGGCAAAAAAATAATTTACCGAAACGGACTCGAACGTGTAATGGGTTTAGATCATCACGGCGCGCGTGCAACCGCCGCGGATGTAACAGAGAAACATACATGCATGCGAAAGGGGGAAACATTTCAAGCCGATTTAATTCTTCGCTCTCCTCTGACGTTGGCGCGACACCGACGAATTTACCCTTAACTTTGAACTTGAGAAGCGACATCGTATCTTTCGCATTCTAATGGAACTGCTGTTCCATTTGTTTATTTATTCTTCACGCGAACGTAACGTGCCCTCTACTATCGGTAGGTATGCGCAGATATTCTGACCGCATCCTCTTTCCTTTCTCGAGGTATTGTCTCCAGGGCAGACAGGTACGACGAATTTCTGCTCCACCCTGAGCCAAGGCTGCAGATTCGAACTCCTGTTCGTGGTTCGAAACCCCTATCATCGACACGTCAGGAGTTAAAGGAAGCCATCAGACTCATGGTCTACCACTTACCGACCGTCAATCTAAACTACCGAGTGAAGCATTCTCGGGGTGCTTTTCCTAATGCTAATTTGACCGTGACGACACCGATGACGACGTTACTTTCATCGGGCCGCAAAAGACAGAACAGACGAAAACAGAAAAACACATGCAGAAAGGACATCACAATATTCAAGTAAGCCTATTCTCATGTTGTATGTCCACCCTACCGTTTGTAAACATCGTAGAACTTGGAGATTGCATCAAGAGATATGCAAGTAAAGCACTTGAGATTGTAGGAGGCTGGGTTATAGGTTGTGCTGTAGACTGGGCCTCATTTGTTAAATCGTTGCTTGAATCTTGCAGATTATTAAGCGGCGGACTTCCACTTTCTTCCTCACCGTTATTTGACACCATTTCTTTCATAGAATTCTCTGACAAAAATTCTGTCAAATATCTTACGCAGTCTTCTGATTTCTCATAGAATCAACTAATAACTTTCCGTAGCATCCTCTGGTAAAAAAAAAAAAACAAATTTACAATTAACCGAGATACCGTTGCAATTTATGAACGCACAGAGAAATGGATTCTTTTGGATTTAGTGTGCGAATTTGTTCGACTTGGGTTTGTAATAATATTATTTCGAAGAAATAACGTTCGGTTTTCAACGCAAAATAATTCCTTTCATTACGCATTAAATATTATTCCGCTGAAATGGAGAAGTTTTACAACATTTTTCTAGCGTAACGTTGCTCCCACCAAATAATTTATCGCTTGCGGCAACCATTGTAACGTGGGAATGGAAATACGAAAGAAATATGTTGTTCGACCCGAAGACACTTGAAAAACCAAACAACCCTGCTCGTCCCATTAAATACTCGTTTAGCCCATTCAAAAAAAACACATTTATCTCAATAGAAGACATTAAATCCAAATAAATCCTTTTCTCCGTTTAGGCGCGTAAATGGATGTGTCGGATGAGCTGATATCACTTCGCAGTCCACAGATAAACGAAATTCCAGTTGAAAAACGACGAGAGTTAATGAAGAGGACGAGAGACAATACAGGAGTAGGTGTTCGCAGCAGTGCGCTGGAAACAGGCCTGACCCATCATTATCTGGCCTGTCGAGGCCGATCGTTCTCGCATTAAAACATCCTCCGAATATCCGTGCGAGATTCGTTCGATTCGTTCCACGAGAAATGCGCGAGCTGAAAGCGCGACTCGGAGGGTGGTTTCGGCGGTTCTCGGCTGCGAGATCCGTATGGCAGAGTGCAGTCGGTTACATATTTCCATGTACGGCCGAGATAGCGGCGATTCTTAGCGCCTTCGTATGGCCATAACCATCGGTGATCGCCGGGGCTTCGTGATCGGGCCGGCGAGACCTCCGTGAACGACCGGTAGAGGCGGCCGGGGTCCCGTAGACACCGTCCACGGACGGCCATGGGCGACCGTGGAGGCGACTCACGATATCTATAGGCTCTACGGAACCAACGACTCGGAAGACCCCCTACTCCGGTACTTGGAATACCGGTTAATGTGGTACACTGACCTACTCTCTAGCCACCGCGGCACCGGCGCGAGATCGCCCCACCACACTGTTGTTGCGCCGTCCTTCTCTCGCTAACCGGCTACTTTTTCTCTCTCTCTCCTTCCCCCCCACCCCCCTCTCTCTCTTTCTCGCGCGCCTTTCCTCTCTCTTTCCTTGTCCCTCTCCCGCATTCCCTTTCCGCTTCTATTTCTCGCAATTTCTTTCTCCCGCGTCTCTATCTCGCTCTCCCTACTCCGCTCCTAATCTCTCGTCCTCCTCGTCCCCTCTTTGCGCTTATTTGATTTATCTTCTCCTCTCTTTCTCTTTCTTCAACTTGCGACTTCATCGCGTGCGCTTCCCGTCATCGAGAATCAGGTAGTCCCGATGTCTACCTTCTACCTATCTTCGAGGCTTTATTTCCGCAATATGCACGATGGAAGTTTCAAAAACACAGCTTTCACATCCATTCTCCCGCAGGTGTCACGTTCGCGATAATTCGACCGCCTCATCGGACGATAGCGGTCGTCACGTTTGCGTTTGAATTTCAAACAGATATTAGAAATCATTATCATCGGCAATTACCGCCATCGCAAATCAACCATGAGGTAATATCGGTCACAGACTTGATTGGTAACAATATTGGTGTGCAGGAATATTTCAACAAATGCGAAATTCCCTGTACGCGATCCGAGTCGACGCGAGCGCGGTATTGTTCACCGTTGAGGCGAAGGTAGGGATGGAGACCTAGTTTTGCCACATTATTTATCTTCGAGGCGTACCTTCATACTTCCCGGGTGATCCCCCCGACGTTTAGCACAGCCGTGCCACGGGAAACGCAAACCTCTTTACGAGAGAGAGAGAGAGAACAAGACCGCGTCTTAATAAACGCCATCGTCCCGACGAATATCCATCGGCGCGCGTTACAGCCCGAGATGTGATGAAATTTACGATGGAAAGATACGGAGCTACCCGTCTTTAAGTGCCGTTTATGCTCTCGTATAAGCAGAAGCTGATGGAAAAGTTACAAGCGACTTTACAGAGATTGTTACGCTATCTACTTATGCGAGAGCTCCCCGACGAACAGCCGACTTTTATCGCGCCGTTCATTAGCCTTAGTAAAACGTTCATCTGGAGTTTCAGCAATCCGGCCGAGAGGGGCCGAACTAACCGGATTGCCGCGACGAACGTACCTCACGATCGATTACGGATCGATTACGGATTAATCGGACGATTTTCATCGACAGGTGAATCCAACACGTTCCGCTGAACGAGTGAACGGGCAGCCGCGGGAAGAAGCCGGCGTAAAAACGCACGCGCGCCACTAGAAATCGACGACCTGACACTGAGACTGTGTCCCGTGCCAATCGCGGATTGGCATCGAAGAGCAACGAACCGCTTTGCAAGATGTCTACAACCTCGCCGAGCCAACAGGTCGGGCCCCCACTATAGCGAGCACGGCCGAGGAAGTCGTTCCGGAGAAATTTCACCGCGAACTTAGCAGCCTCCGCCGCCGTCTCCCGCCGTGGTAGCTCACACCGTCGTCGTCTTCGCCGTCGTCGACGGGTATACACCCGAATACCCGAATGGGCAAGCCTCGCTCGCGCTCGGCTAAATGTCAGAGACTCACTCGGGAAATATAAAGGTATGCCGGCGAAGATGTATAGAGAGCCGTTCGCGTCCAGCGAAAGCTTGAGAAATCCTCGTTCATGAAGAATCTAGAGATGAAGAAGAGATGCATCCCGCGGCATCGTGGAATCTTGTCTGTCGCGCGACATATGCGAACTTGTGAACGCGACGGCACTACCGGCGGAATCTCTTCTCTCTCGAATTTACTCCACCGTGTCGTAAAATTTATCGTACAAAATTATCATCCCCCTCCCCCTCCCGCGTTTTTCCGCGACTATACATACTGCTAGCCGACCGTTATGCCCGAAATATTTCCCGACGACCGATCCGTAATCGATCCGTAATCGATCTGTAATTTGATTCAAGATACGCCGGATCTCCGTGAACGCTCTAACTTTTCTCAGGAAACACGTGTCTCGACGTATCTTGGGAAAGCGATAATCGCAAGATACGATCTAGACTGATGTGAAAATGGTATTGTGAGGTGCGAAGATTTAAGATCGCATGGCTCTCGTGAAATATGTATCTAAAATATAGACAAAATATAAAATGAAGCGTGAAATATAAAATATGGATTCGCCGCGCCTCTAAATCTCGCTATCTGACCTCGAATCTTTTACGTAATAAAGCGTGTTATTCGGGACGAACGCGAAGAGATGGACTTAACAAACGACCGGTCGATGCTTCCCACAATATTCGGTAATTGTTGCAAAATATTCAATTCAAAATCATTTCCACGATATATACCCCTTTTTACCGCCGAGGAATCTTTCACTACTGCGGAGGACTCGATAATTCTTCGTTCAGTTTTCAATGCTCGTGTTAACAGTTTTATGTTCCCGTCGTTTACAATTAACAGCTCATTTCGCACGGCAAATTCCCCATCGCACGCGTGCTCTCGGATACCCGTGCATCGTGGCTGTTAATTACTCGAAAAACCGGCCACGGTACCTCGGATATTATTTCTTCTTTTATACGTGGTTTCACGGTTGTGCCACTCTTTCCGCGCGACATTTCAGGTCACCCTCGCTGTTGCACCTCGAATAATCGACAGTCGTGATCACACGAAGATCCCAA